AAACAGGTTAAAACCGTAAAACATGCATGGTTGGAATCCAGGGGCTAGAACATGGGACCTGACCCTTGATAAATCTATAGTCTTGAGGGGGGGGAAAGACCTGGTTTTGCTGGAGTTTGGGACCAAAACACCGGTGTCCGTCCCAGACCTGGTTCTTTCCCAAACTCTCTTTGGTGATTGCTTCAAGGAGTCTGGGCTCGAAATATTGTGATGGTGTCGCTTCCGCACTCTCTCCATGCTCCATGCTTCGAGGCTCCCGGAGTGGTCGGGAGGCTTCTTCCACCCCGGAGTTCGGGTGCCCGTTTCGGTGATTGGGGAGAAGGTGAGCCCAGTCCCAGACGCGACCCCTGACCGACCCCAAATCCTGACTGCAGGGGGTTGGATCTGAATCCTCGGGTCAGGGGTGACCCCGAACCAATCCTGACTGGCCCGACTGGGCTTGGTTCGGGACCGGCATCGTTCACGGAGCGTCTGGGTGGATCACTAACATCCCGAATCGGGACTGGACATGCAAATTTCAGTTTGGGTGATTTTTAGATATCTTTAGGATCAATGGTAAAGATTCCATGGATGGTTAGGGAATGATCACAAGTGTTTGATTCCTCTAAAATCCCGATCAGTTTGGGTGTTGGGCACATGTTGCCTGGTCCAGCTGAGGGTGACGGATTCTTTGGAAAAAAGGTTGCATCAACTGAACCAACTCGTTGGGCGGTATATCCCGAGCTACGAGTAACAGTGGATGATGATGTTTACCTGGACCATCCGGTCTGGGTGTCCAAATGGAGATCTGTAAGAAGTGTAGGGTGATTCATTGGACAACGATTGGATGGTGCTGGTAGGAAGTTGCTTTCGACCATTCGGAGTTCTCGCCAAAGTGACCCAGACGTTCTTCGGGATGTTTTGAATGCTTACATCATACGATTGAAGCACATCTAAACCATGAAGATCCCAAGAATTTTGCAAGGACTTCTAGAGACTGGCTGGCAACTCACTCCCTGATTACCCACCAAAATCTTCCAAGATTCGGCAACTTCCCATGTGCGTACGTGTGGTACTCTGAGCCCCGCGCCTGCGCCCAGACGTTCTCCCAAAAAAAAGCTCCAGCGGCCGCAAAGGGCCAAGGAAGAAGCATGCCCCGAAGAGAGGGCAACCGCTGAAGAGAGAGAAGGCGGCGCTCGAGGCCCATCCCCCACTTGGGGCCTCAGCAGGACCCCTGACGGGTGGGGTCAAACGAGTCGTTGACGAGATGCGTCTCTTGGGCGAAACCCAGAGAAAAACCGCCCAAGGACGCCAAAGAAGTGCGAACCTGTTAAAACCAGTAACTGGTTGAATTTAAGGCCAGTTCTAGAGGTGTTCATGCATTCATTGCATCCGTGCCCGGACCGACCCGGGACGCGCAGTGGTTTTTCCGTGCGTGACGCCGGTTTTGGATCCAAAACCCATCGCAGCGGGGGCGGCTTGGACCTTCCATCCAAGCCTCCAAAGCTTCACCGGCTGTCCTTGCCCAGTGGATTCCAGGCAGTTCCCACGAGTACTAAGGAACCAGGGATTCGGAACCTGTCTATGGTTTGAGTCGAACTGGAACCAACTGGTTACCAGCGAACGTTCGTGGTTTGCCTGGATGCCCTGTCCTTGATTCTGAGAGGAACCTGGTCCATTGACGCCTCGGCCCCCGTTGTGTGGGAGGTCGCGACGACCTCCTGAGGCTCCGACACCGGCCTGGCTTCAAGTGTGGGACATGGAGACGCGCCTGACCTGACCGCGCGGGCACGCACGATCACAGTGTCCGATGAATCACCGTACCCTCAGAAGGTACGACTGGATTTTCTAGGAGATGGATTCGCTGGTTCTTCCTGATTTGCTCCACATCTGGACCCCAGAAACCACTGCACATGTCAGGTAAGGACCTTCAAAGGTCTTCACCCCTTCCCAGAAGATCCCCGTGTGTACTGCCAGGGGGGGTCCTCACCTTGGAAATTAATGTTGAAATGGAATTTTTTTCCATTGGAGCAGACCTCTGAGAGAAGGCCCTCAAATAAGCCAAGAAGAGGGGGGGGGTAGTCGCTAATGATCACTATATAACAATAAATTAAATCCTGTCCCCTGACCCCCCCCCCCTCCTCAATAACAACTTTTTAAGTTCATGATTTTTCTCCTGTCTCCTGACCCCCCCCCTCAATAACAACTTTTAAGCTTACATGTTTTATCCCTGACCCCCCCCTCAATAACAACTTCTATAACTTCTTAATCTTCTTGACGGGAAAAGGCAGGGGGGATTGGTGACAGATTGTGAAAGCTAGCGGGGTGGATGCCTGTCAAATTTGCCGACAATTGATTCAACATTGCCCGAGCGCTTGCAGCTTTTGGGGTTTTGAAGAGTTCCGAGGAAGGCAGCGATGTCAGCTGCAATGTGTTTGCAATGTTCAACTGGCAGGGAAATGTTTGTAATTTATTTCCTCAGGCGTCTTACTTCAAGATAGGTATGATAGGTCACATGGTCAGCCCCCATGGAAAATATTCCAAATTGAGTTTCTTGACTTTTTGAGTCTTTGGTGCTGTGTCTGGAGTGGGGGTAGTTGTGTGTGGAAAGGTTTGTTATTTATTTCCTGGGGTGTCATCCATAAAGATAGGTCATGTCAATGAACATGGTCAGCCCCCATGGACAAAAATTGTTTGACACTTCCCTTTTGGACTTTGTGAATCATTGGTGCTGTGTCTGGACTCGGGGGTGG